TCTTCCCTTTCCAACATCCCAGTTATGCATATGTCACAACTTATCTAACTGTTCCACAGTTCTTAGATACTCTGTTCCATCTTTTTCACTTTTTTTCTCTTTGCATTTTAGTTGTGGAAGTTACTATTGATTTATTTTCATGCTCACTGATTCTTTCCTCAGTCATGGCCAGTCTACTAATGGGTCCAACAAAGGCATTCTTCATTTCTGTTAGTGTTTTTGATTTCTAGCATTTCCTTTGGATTATGTCTTAGAGCTTCCATCTCTCTGCTTACATTACTCATCCATTCTTACAGGATGTCTACTTTTTCCATTAGAGCCCTCAGCATATTAATCATAATTTTAAATCCAAAGTATGATAATTTCAAAATCTATGTCACATCTGAGTCTGGTTCTTATGCTTCATTTACCTCTTCAGATCGTGGGGTTTTTTGTCTGTAAGTGTGCCTTGTAATATTTTGTTGAAAGCCAGACATAATGTTGGGTAAAAGGAATGGAGGTAGACAGGCCTTTAGTGTGAGTTTTATGTTTATCGACTAGGAGTTAGGCTGTGTTTATTGTTTGCTGTAGCTATGGTATCTAAGGCTACATTTTTCTCTAATGTCCTTGTTTTTGTCTCCCATGTTCTCCTTGGGAACTCCTAGAAACTCTTTAAATAAGGTGTGAGGCTTACATTTGTTTTAGAAGCCCTACTGACATGGTGGTAAAGTTGGAAGGAGGCATTCTATTGTCCTATGATTAGGTCTCGGTCTTTTAGTGAGCCTATGTGGGGTATTTCCCTTCCCCCAGGTCAAGTAGGCTTTGGCAGAGCCCCTGTTGGTTAGGCTCAGGTAAAATACTTTCCCTTGAAACAGACTTTATTAAAGAGAACAGAAAGCTCTGGGTAGATTTCAAAATGATTACTTTTCTCCTCCTCCCTCCTTGGCCCTACCTGCAAACTCCCCAGCCCCTGAAATCCTCCCTCACTATGCAGGCAGTAAAAGATTTTTCTCTGATCCTCACAGGGAGAACCTGGTAGGGCTTCTGGAGGTAAGACTCAAGAAAGTGAGGGGACACCCCCACCCCCAAGACTCAACCTCCTTGGTTTTCAACTCTCTCAAGCTAGCCCACCCAGAGCCTCCAGCAGTTAATTCATTAATTAAGCTTAAAGTGCTCCTACGTAGAGCGGCTTCATCTGTGGGGCTTCTACTCCTAGACTTCTGCTACCCATAAGCTTTGATTCTCTGTATCTGCCTATCTCCAATTTTCCAGGCAGCACTCTGCCCTGAGACCTCAATTCTCTTGACGCATCTAAGAAGAACTGTTGATTCTCAGTTTGTTCACTTTTTTCTTGTTGGGATGACAGAAGTGAGGACTTCCAAGCTCTTTATGTGTCACACCAGAAACAATAAGTCAATATACTTTATTATCATCATAGGCACTAAGGTAAAACTATCCCTGGAATATAACTCTTACTTGTTTGCATTCTAATACGCTTTACACATAATCCTGGGGTTACCTAAGGGAGAACTGAGAACCATTATTGTATTCTTCAAGTAGTTTGGGATATAGAGGTCCACAAACTGCTGCCCAAGGGCCAAATCCTGCCAGTAATGGAACAAATCCAGCCATTCATTCATTTGTATACATATATATATATATAGTCTGTGGCTACTTTCTTGATAACAATGGCAGAGTAAAGTAGTTGCAACAGAGACCCTATGTCCTACAAAGCTAAAAGTATTTACCATCTGGCCCTTCAAAGTAGAAGCTCTCTGGTTCTGGGTTATACATCCCATACTTTCTTGCATACGTGATCTCTTGGTATTTTGTGTGCATGTGTGTGTGTGTGTCTGTCTTTTAATTGTTGACCAGGGCTGAGTACAATGATGACTATGCATTATCTTTAATTTTTATTTATCAATTCATCCATCAATTCATTTAATATTCAATTGCTGAGATTAAAGAATTCAGTTTAGTGAAAATCTTTTGCAAAACAGTGTAAATAATGCTATAGCAATTACATTCAAATACTAGAAAATTAAAATAAAGGAGTTATTAACTCTACCTGGGGTACTCAAGGGTTCAGAATACTAAAATTTTGCCACAGAGGACTGCGGCTTACTATTGTTTAGTAGAAGATATATTCTCTAAGCAAGGGATTCTCAAACTTCAGTGTTAGAATCACCTGAAGGGCTAGCAGAACAAAGACTGCTGGATACACCCCCAGAGTTTCTATTACAGTAAATCTGAGGTGGAGCCTCAAAATTTACATTTCTAACAAGTTCCAAGGTGATACTAATATGACGCTAATGTAGAGAACCATGCTCTAACAAACCAAATAGCATCATATAAATACAATTCTAAAGCTGAAAGGGTCTTTTAAAAACTAGTTGTACCTCTCTGAAAGAAAGAATATCAGACTAAAAACAAACAAACAAACAAAAAGTCTCTATGTCAGATAAATAGAAAGGTCCAACAGACTGTCACCTATTTTATGAATCTGAAACACTTTGGGCCTTCAGAATTGCTTTCCTATTTTATTCATTCCCTTGTTACTTTCTCCATCAATCCACCTCCCTCCCTCAGTTAGTTAGTTACCCTAACTCACAGGTTTCCTTTGCCGTCTTCAGGCTTTGGCCATGACTCAACAAGTTACCTTAGCCTTGGGTCTTGGCTCCTAAAATAAGTAGGTCAAACCCTCCACCAGAACCAAACTTTAAAGAAGCTATCTCCAGGTCAATGTTAAGGGGTTCTTCAAAATTCTAACTTTATCTCTTGGGAACTAGGTTGGAATGCAGATTAGCCCACAAACCCTAACTAAATACCACTGTATACTCATTCATAAAAGGTTACTAAACTATGTAGCAGTCATTTGCTCAGTATTTTTAAAACGAGGGACACAGTGTCTCTCACTTGGGACATAAATTATTTTTTATTCTACATATATAGTAAAAAAACATTTGATTAGTAGTACCAAAACTCTAAATAAGTGATTACTTAGTTTCACCTATGCAATTTTTAAAAAAAGTCAGTTGCTGTAAGTCCTCCATTCTGTAAAATGCAGCATGAGTTTAATAACTTATTTGGGGAGAAAATTACCACATCAAATATGTCAAATACAGAAACATTAATACGTAGAAAAAATCAACTGTCTCTAAGAATGCAGTAGAAACAGTATTCACTAGTACTTACTGCTAGATGAGAAACAGAAAGATGCAAAAGGTGTTGCCCCCAGCTTCAAAGAACTTATTGTTCATTAGAACAGCATAGGACAAAAATTAAAGTGATTAAGTGCTTAACTGTAAGACATCACTATAGAGTTTGAGGTCAAAAAAAGGCCAATGTGGACTACAGTAGCTAAAGAATGTTTTATAGTACAATGATTTGAGCTATGACTTCAAAAATGGTTAAAACATGATTAAGTAGGATTTGGATACAGGCGAGTAGAGATTCCAGAAAAAAATATAAAGCAGGAATAAAAGGAGGACCACAAAATATAAGGCAGACACTGAAGTGCTTGCCTGATGGGACTTCAACACTGTTGAACCAAAAGAAATCGGGTTGGACCAACTGTATGGGGCTAGATTATACAGGCCTTTGAAACCTAACAGAAATCTTTAGATAATGATATGGTGGGCGAGGTGAAATTATTATAGGTTATTTGAAGGAGACTACATGGAAAAGGATGTTTTTGAAGACTTATTTTGGCAGCAATTACAGCATAGTTCAGTAAGGGGAAAGGCCAGGGACAGACAGCAACTATGGTGCCACTGTAATAATACAGGAATGAGATGGTAAAGCACTGAACTATGGTCCTGGCAGTGGAAACATAGGGAGTAGAAGACAGGGAGAAACGTAAGTGACATTGCAAACTTGGCAACTTGTTAAAATATTGGGCACAGGGATTAAAATAGAAAAATCCAATATGAAACCAATATTGCTAGCCTGATGGAATGAAGGAACAGGTGCTATCTACTACCCAAAGAAGTGGATTAGCTAGACATGAAAGCCAACTGAGGTAGCAAGGCACTATGGCATAGAAGGATTACTGTGAAAATGCCAAGTGTACAACGACAGTGGTAGCTGCCTGTACTCTAGCAAATGAATCAGTAGATGTGATTCGAGTTGTCTGGTCAGCCCATCTATTTCTTTGGCAAAGAAGTGAACAGAGGGGAAAAAAAAAGGATGGCTGAGAAATAAGTGTCTGGAAATTCAAAATTAAAGTACATCTACAGGAAAGCAACAGGAAAAATAAAATGTTCATCAGAAATAAGATCCATGAAAACAAGGACCTTGCATCTTTGCCCATGGAATCCCCAATGCCTGGCAGAATAGGTGACAAAGGCAGCTCTCAAAAAGGAACGAATGAGAATTCCCAAACTTCAAAGGAATCATGGTAACAAGAAGAGTTGAAGACATAATGAGAGATAAAGACTGAAAAAAGGCCACTGAGCTGGCAAGAAGAACAGGAAGCCAGACTGCAAAAGTCAGAAAGGACAAGAGCAGAGAGAAGATCTAGCAGAGTGGGGGTGGTGAGCTGATGGACAGATGGCAGCTAAAAGGAAGAACAGCAGGGTAGACAAAGCATTATTTTACTTGTTTGGATTTTTCTAAACTCAAAATTTTTCTGCTCATTCAAGGAAATTTTGAGAATATAATAAAAAAGGGGGGGGAGCATACATTTGTTCCACCACATAAGTGCAAAACCAGTTAATGCTTTTAAAATGTGTGTTCACTTATTCCACCATATATATGAGTGGGCTTACATATCACACAACAGGATAATAAATGAGGGACTGGAGGGGAGGGAAACGGGTAAGCAAAATAGTAAAACCAGGGGTGAGATTAGCTGGCAATGGTTACCATGTTTCTTAAATCTTTTTAGTGGTCAAAAAAAAAAAAAAATAGTACTTTTCTGCTTTATTTTTTATTATCGAATAAGGATTTTTGCATTGTTAACTGTTTATATTATTATTCTTATAAAATGAGTATTTACATTCTTCATTCACTTACCTAATGACTTTTTTTCTTAGACTATGAATGAGCTCTTTAGGTCACTGAAAGATCAACTCTTTGTTTTACTGCAAAAACTTTTCTCCAAGGTTGTTTGCTGCTGCTTTAAGGAAGTCATAAGCCTGTATAAAGTCACAGGAAAAGCAGCCTGTGGAAAAGAAGAGTTTGATGATGCTGACAGAAAGGGTATATATTAGAACAAATTCCCTAACTATATGGAAAGGGATGAATCCAAAGGGGAAAACAAACTTCATCCTATAATGAGAAAGTACACAGATACAGATGCTAAGACATAGGAGCCAAAATATGGGCTAAGTGAGGTATGAGGAACCCCACACCCAGTACTATTCTAATCCTCTTCCTGACGTGGCCATTATTCAGAGTCAACTCAGGGTACAGAGCCTTCTTCTAAAACTAACACAGCAGTTCCTGGTCCTCTGCCCCAGTTCTCAACATGCCCATCCTCTTCTTCCCTATTATTACTTTATATTCTTTCTTCTACCTTTGCATTTCGATGAGAGAATTGTGATTGGTGGAAATCCCACTCCCCAATCAAGCAAATTTGGACCTAAGCCATCTTCCCCTAATTATTCTCATTACTGGCAAGGCTTACTCTCATCAACAACTGTGAATCTAGTTGGGAATAAAGACTGCTAGTGGGAATAAAGACTTCCCAGTAAGCATACCATTAAGTGTATTTGGATCAATAGCCCTGCCTTTCCCTTGATTTTTGTTAAGGTCACCATCCTGAATTTTGCCAGTAAGAATATTTTATTCTACTGAACCCTCTCTCATCTAACTCTATTTTTTAATACCATCGATTATACCATACTATCACTGCATTTAACAAAATCTTACTTTTGTTAAATTCTACTGATGATGCATGCAACTACTACACAAGAGGTGAATGTTTTAAATGCAGAGTAGTGTTTATTACTTTTTAAATCTCCTATGCCTGTATATAGTAGACATTAAAATAAAGGCATATGGAATTCAGTTTTCCTTGACCACTTGATTCTATAAATTCAGGATTAGTTCTTGATCTTCTCACTTCTTTGAAACTTATATGTACAGAATTTGGCCAAATATTGCTTGTTAAGATCTCCTGCTTCAGGAAAAGGGATCATGCATGTAATAATCTGACAGTTACATTTTAGATCACAGATTGCTTATGTACATATACAATTAATAGATCTAATAACTGCAATCAAATTAGCGAAGTGATTCACTTAAATTAACTGAAGCATCTGTTCAAATACATTTTCCCAGGCTCTCAGAAGCACCAACTTTACTTCAAGCAAGATGTCACTAAAGTGACACTCTTATCCAATTAAATTTTTAAAATTTCATACCTACTGCAAAAACAATGGCAAGTACTTGGCTACCCCACATAAATAAAATATTTTACTGTCATATTGTAAATTACTTATTATGCAGTGACTGCTTTGTTTCAGGTATATTCTGTCTCTGAATTCCTATGAGCTTCACATATTAAAAAATGAGAATGTTTCATTTAAATTCAGTACAAATTAAGTAAAATGGGCTCATCTCAGGAAGACAAGCCTAAATCACTGAAAAAAGTTAATTTACACAACTCAGATCATTGTTCTTCGAGAGTTGAGAAAAATTTCATGGAAACAGTAGCACATGGATTGAATCTTAAAAGTTAAACCCTTGTATCAGCAGGAAAAAAAGAAAGGTTTTTAAAGTAGCAGGCAGAGAGACCAGCACAGGCATAAGCAGAGAAACAAGATAATAAAAGCAAAGAAAATGGGTTACTGTAAACTGTAGTCACCACTTAATGCAGTAATCCCCTTGTTCTCATCTTGTAGCTACTTGGCAGTACAAGGTGATCAAAGTAGGAAAGCCACAGAAAAATTAAAAAAAAATACAAGTACATAAAGAAAAACACAAATCCAAGTGCTCTCAATGCTTGGTTCGTATCTTAAAATGAGGCCTCATAAACTGCAACACCATAGCCCTAGGGAATCATACCCCCAAGATGCCAATAGTTCACTTCTATCCCCATGCCCTTGGTAGGTATCATTAATCAATCAGATTTAGCATGTAAATTCACATCAATTTGTTAATCCTGTGTTGGAATGAATGTATGCTATCTGAATCCTTACTATCTAAACTCAGACTATGAATGGGTTCAGGTAAATTTATTTTTTATTTATTTTTTTTAGATAAGGCTATTTGGAGATGGTATTTCACACCATATGGACTCTGGCCTTCCAAAATTCCAAGACATAACAGATTGGAATCTGTTATTCTGACCTCTCACTCTCTGAATTCAGAAACCAAACAGACTCAAATAGCAAGGAATATCTTTATGTTTTCAGTTTGTTCTTAGATATAAGGAATATAAAACCTCACCTCCCACACAACTTTTCATAATATATATAGGAGCTATTGTAATAGATGTCTGATAATGATATGCATAATTAACCAAACCTAGTTGTTTTCTATTTCCTCTTATAAATAGGAGATATTATAGTCCATAAACAGAAAACACTAAAAGTCTCAAGGAAAAAAAATTAAATCATGTTTTAAAGTTTCTATTCATATTGGTTAAGTGTTAACTATCTTAATCTCATAGTCAGCAATCAAGTGCATTAAGGCCTCAAAACTTATTGTTCCTTATTTATTACCCTGCCCAGAACAGGAAGATCCTTCCTCCTTTTGGTCATGCTGCTCATCTTAACCAGAACTCTTAGAACCTTCAATAAAGCACAAGAGAAAGCAGCTAAATACACAGAGACTGATAGAAAAAGAGGCACTGGGTAAGACTGGTCTAGTTTGGTCAGAGATATGAAATAACCATCTTACTGTCTTGTTCTTTAATAGGTATAAAGAACTGTCACAATTACACATTAAAAAGTCTAACCTAGATGAAGAGGAAAAGTTGTAAGGCTCATCCCTGCACTAAATTATTCTGAAAAGAAAATACACCTTTCTTATTTACATAACCAAATTGACAATATAACATCCACTACTGCCTTAAAATATTACATTATTATAATAGGAAAAAGTTCCTATGTGAGGTGCTTATAAGTACGGAGAACCTCTTTAGAAGCAAAACAAAACAAAAAAAGCACACAATAGTCCCCCTAGTGCAATCTCTCAACTCGTAAACTCCCCAAGGATTGCTGCATAGACTTACATATTTTTGCATAATCAACAACGGCTTTTAGAACACTTCAAATGTAATACATGCTCAATAAATATTTGCAGACTGAATCTCACGTAACAGAACTCTTGCACAAGGTAACAAGAAGTGAATAACACCTTCAGATAGTCCTCCTGGGCTAACACCCAAGGAAACACTGACAAATCCTAACAATTCTTCCATTGAAAATGTTCTGTTGATTGCCTTGATTAGTTAATTCTGTTAGTCTTTCACTGTGCTTATGGTATGTTTTATTATTGCTGTCAATATTAATTTAGTAACAGAGTCACAGAAAGTTAAGCTGAAGGAACTTGCAAGGTCATTTAGTATAAACTTTTCATTTTACAGACAAGGAAACGAGGGTCTACTTTTCTCACAATTAACACTTTGGCACTTGTCACCGCTTTCCCTGGTTCCCTAACCGAATAAAAGAGTTTTATTGCACTTTTTTGCTTGGGTTAATATTACAAGGTTAACATTACAAGTGAATGGGCATTCCTCAAATGCCAGTCTCTAGCATAGTACTTTGTATATAGCAGGTACTCAGGTAAGTACTTACACACTGTTCTTGCTTAGTGTTCAAATTTGAGTAAATGGCAATGCTCATTTTAATTATTTTCATTTGTACAATTTCAGTGTGCAACATTGTTTTTCTAATATAAAAAGTGATGTGACACAAGTTTTTACTCAAAGCATTCTTTTGTAACAGATAAAACACTTCTGTCTTTTCCACCACTGTGAAGCTCATTTCCCCCAATAATACCAAAAACTAATAGTGAGATAGAAACCAAATCAGTTTTGCACATAACAGTCAAGACACCTCCCAGTGGGGAGAGCAAATTGGTAAATTATTTATACACACACACATCCATTACCTAAGAGCTAAACAATAGGCCAGAAAATCCAGGGGCTTCAAATTGCTTAACTTGCCTTCCTGGTCAAGAGGGAAGACAATTTCATTAGTTTCAAATCATAGAGGAAAGCAAGGAACTGCCTTCTTTCTGGAATCACAAACATTCGGTGTTGGGATGCAACCATCACAGCTGGCCTCAATATAGACAAACAAAAGCACCCTTGGTGTGCTTGGTATGGACGACAGGCTAAACTCAGGGCAAGCAGCATGTTCAACCAACTAATCAAAAATAATGAAAGCCAGCTAATGTACTAGTCAGTTTCTCATTTTAAAGCAAAATGCAGATCAGGGACTTATGGTTAAAGTAAACTCTGAAGTTATAAGCTTTACAGTAAATGTTTCCCACTGCAGGAGAAGGAACAACAACTATTTCTCAGACAGAGCTAATAAATGCCCTGACCCAGAACCAAGGACAAAATGGAACTGCTGAGTTCTAGTATATGGGACAGAATCAGGTCTAATATGGTTATCACCATGTAAACCTTTTGGATCATCATACTTTGCTCATTGTAACTAATACATAAGAAAGTAAAATTGGGTTTAAATTAGAATTTAGAAAACATCCAAATGGTCCACATATATAATTCCAGTTTATTTATAATTTTAAGTCTAAAATGTATGAGATTCAGAAGTCTGTATGACTTACAGGACTGAATAAAGACAAGGAACTCTGGCCACGGCACGCACAGCTTCCAGGGTCTGATAATGAATGAGAGGAATCCTAGCTTTCCTGTCATTTAATTTATGTTCCCAAAAAGTGTGTAGAACAGTGACACATCTTACAGGACTATTTAAGAAATGGCTTATACAGTCTTACTTACAAATAAAAGCTTATATATATACAAATAACAATTGATAACTAAATCTTTTAAGAATCCCTGAATTCATATGTTGAGTAAATACAGTATTAGAACATTTTCTACAATAAAACATCAAGATTTCTTTTAATTTCTAGGTAAAGGTTTGTTGTTTATGTTACAGCCTAATGGCAAATACGTTAATCACTCCCACCCATGAAAGCATGATTTTTCTTGTAACTAATCACCAACAGACAGAAGAGAGATCAAATGTAATTTTTTCTATCCTATTTTTTTCCATAGCAATTTTATTCTATCAGGGTTTCAAGTAAAACTGCTTTAAAATGGAAAAGAAAACACTTAGTATATACATACATATATGTAAACTAAATACAAATTTTCTTTTTTCTCTTTTAAACAATGAAGACACTGTGGGAGATAAGAGGAAAGAAAAACTTGCTTTGGCATTCTTTTTTTAAGTAACCAAACAGGGGTGCAATGTAAGTTCAAGAAGTTTGCAGTGAGGTTAGTATTGGCTGTTTTATGTTGCTAGCTTTCTTTTTTTAATGAAAAGTTTATATTAAAATTCTATTGTTTAGAAAAGATAAACAACATTTTCACAGCATATTCAGTATTAAAACACATCTCTGCAAATAAATCTCCTTTCAAAGTACTAAGTGACTTGGACCTCGTCTCTGGAATGGGAATGAGGAAGGTCAAGAATAGTGCAGGCTTGTTAACTTGGATTTAGGTTGATGATATTCATAAATATATTACACAAATATTACAACACTATCAAGTTGGCAGTATCTTTATTTTCTAGAACTACCTTAAAAATTATAAATTATATTTCTAATTCTTATGAAATATAGTTTCTGGTCTCATTAGATACCAATGATTTCAACTTTGAACACTTCATCTTTTTTTTCCAAAGTCTCATTTAATGCTTGAAATTACAATGGACATACTTTTATCAAACAGCATTTTAGTTTAATAAACAGAATAAATTAATTATCAACTGAAATAATAAGTATCTCATTGTCCAGCTAAAGACCTGCCTCACATACTATATTTATATTTGTTGAATAGGAAGACAAGTACAGACTTGTTTGTAATCTGCAAGTTTAATAATTTAGAAACTATGATCAACCTAAATGCAAAACCCTTTTGATAATTTTTAAATGCCACATTTTGGATTAACGTAATTTTAAATCCTCATTAGTAATGATACCAAAGGTTGATGCAGAAAGGGGTACAAAACTGATCTCTCAGAGCATCATCAAGTTATAAAATAAATGATAAAAAGATACTGTTCACTCACAAAATGTGAAATGAGATACCTAAAAAACTGTAATCTTATCTATTAAAAATGATTTTAATTTAGCATATACACACTAGTTCAAAGGAGGTGGTGAAAGAGCTTTCATTTTTTAGTGTGTTTATTTTATATAGTCACTTGATGAATAATATAAATCCAGTCTTGTAGAGCAGGGGATATGAGACTATATATTAATTATATCCATTAATGTTTTTTATTATCCACTAATGTCGTTTATTCCAAAGTTCTAAACACAGTATGAAGAAATCATTTTTGCAAATAGGATTTCTACACTTGAAAATTAAACGCTAGTAAGTGTGCCATTACAAACAAAGATATAAAATTATATTTTGGGGATTAAGGTGTTTGTTGCTGTTATTTTTTCTGAGCAAGTAGCAAAAAATGAAGTGCACTCTACTTCAGGGTAAGTTTTTCCTCACATTAGAGTCAGTGCCGTTAAGCTGTAATGAATGTGTAAATATAAATTATCAATGAAAGAATAATTAAATCACATGATTTACCAAAAAGAGCACTCCACTATCATTATCGTTCAGTCAGTTGGCTATACAATTTACTCCTATATTAAAAATATAAAGTGGAGTTTCCTTTCCCCTATTGTTCTCATAATAAATTAAAATATACATTACTAATTCAACTTTTAAAATGTGCCTTTCTTAAAAGACTTAGTCCTTTAATTTGGGTGTCCCTTACCTTAAATGTAAAAACCAAGGTGTTTAATGCAATTCAATGATGGCTTCAGAGACACTAAGTTACATCAAGTTAAGGGGGGGGAACCCCACTGATTTCTGGAAACCTTGATGGTAAGCATAAAATTAATCATCTCTCCCTTTAAATAACAGCTTTTAAAAGGGGGTGAGGATATCCATCAAAGAATAAACGCTTCTCTCTTTCTGTGTTTCACACACACACATAGAAGACAATCTTACTTATCTGACCTATTCAAGTTGCCAAAACATGACTATTGATTATCAAAGCCAAAAAAAAAATTCTCCTTTAAAATATTTAAACATCTTAAAATTAAAACTGAAAGCAAGATACTCAACTGCCAATTACTGTGTAGTAAGAAACTATTAAAGCCTGCACTGACCTACTTCATATTAGCATCATGACAATATGGATGTATGCCAAGAAATAAAAAAAATTACTATATAACAAACCTTAATTTTGTATTTAAAAATTGTCACTGTTTTTAACTGTCTAAATACTGTACTGCAATGCCAGTTGTTTTTATGATGCATTTATTTTTAAATTGCAATGAAAGTAAGGAGTTTTGATATTTTAGTAGTCATATTCAATGATGGACATGCAAGATTTCATTTTTAAAATCAGAGCTTGTTCTACACCACATTCAATTCTATTTTAAAACTTCTATTAAAAGCAATCTCTTAGACCAAATTCCAAATATTGCTTTCCATTTTTAAAATAGCACTACATTTTACAAAATGTCAGTTAATAAAGAGTCCTACAGAAATAATGCAAGTTCATGTTCAAAGAATATTTACAATGGCTCTAACAGAAGACAGACTTAACCCAGTGTATTTAATTATTAAAAGACTGCCACCAGTCTTTCAGAGTTTAACCTAATGCTGAAATTCTCATACAAGAAAGTACAGAAATAGCAAAGGGTATCTCATCTATGATTTCTAAAAAGACACGAAATAACAAGACATTTTAAATTAAAATGTTTTTAAATTAAAAAATCACTTTACAGTGTAAACCACCACCTTAAAATACCTTATACCAAAGAAGCCCTTTCTTCAAAATCATGCAAATAAACTCCCTGGAAAGGAAATTTAATCTCAGAATAAAGGAGGCAAAAACATCCAGAAATAGCAGCTAAACCAACGGAAAGGAAGAGACACATTAGGTTTTTGTGCTGCATGTTAATATTCTTAGGCACAATGTCTGGTGAAAATTCACAATACACTTCTTCCTCCCTGTATGCTTGCAAAAAGGAGTAAACACATTTCACATTCCTCAGTCCCAAATTCATGCCACCATCATGCAATATGACTTAATTTCGACCCATATTCCTCTTGCACGTAAGTGGAAAAACACATATAACTTGTTTATCTACACTCACAATTGAGGAGGGGGTAAAGACATTTTTTGGCTATGGAGACGAGAGGCTGATGCAAAGTCCGCACACCTCCAGAGGTCCTATAAATATGCACCCGACTCTGGATACCCACATTCAATGAATGCATCAGCCTCCTCCTCCGCCCGCCGCCCCCCACCCCCTTTGCAGCAGAAATGTGCCTGGGCTTTTTTACCCCAGCGATGGAGGATCCTCTTACCAGATGGAGTTCTTGATCTTGTGTTGCAGCGCGCTGGCCTCTGTCCCTGGCAGCCCAGGCACAAGGGCTGGCAGAGCCACCCCCGAGTTGGGGGCGCTGGGGGGAAGCTGCTGATGGGCATCAGGCTGCTGTGGCGGCTGTTGTTGTTCCTCTGCCATCGCTGCTGGAGGGGTGGGAGGGAGGGAGGGAAGATGGGGGCGCGGGGAAGGGTGAGGGAAGAGGCGGGGAGGGGAGGACGAAGGGGGAGAGGAGGACGAGGGGGGAAGGGAAGAGGAGGAGGAGGAAGGAAGCTGAATAAGCTAGGCCTTTACCCCAGGGCTCGAGTGAGTCGCTTTCGCCTGCCGCCTGGGGGACATCACCAGGGAGACCGAGCGGCTCCTCACGGCAGGGACGCTTCACCGCGGGAGAGGCATGGCGGCGCCCCTCAGCCCCCCGCCGCCGCCGCCGCCGCCTCCTCCCGTCAGCGGCCGGGGCTGGGGGGGATGAAGAGGGGACGTCTGAAGACGAGGTGGGGGGGGCAAGGCTCCCCCAAATCCAAGAACGGCTGCTCAGGGACTCCGCGGCCTGGCCTTCCTTTCTTGACCCCCGGGGCTTTCTACTCCGGGGGCCCGCACTGCTGCAGCCCCAAGCTCGGCTCCAC